CTTTAATAGATTTTTATAATCGTATCACGTACATAGGAAAATACTCTGGTACAATTAAAAAATAATAAAAAATTTTGTGCACCTTTATAGAATTTAGTTTAACATATCAGATATTTAAAGAGCATACATCTTTTGTCGATTATATTCATTTATAGTTTGATATATTTTAATGTAATATTACTCTTTTAAATATTAAATTGTAAATTATATATATAGTACAATTTGTAAGGATATTTGTTTATTAACTAAGTTTTAATATCATTTGGAGAACATAAACTGTCCTTTTGGACACGTAATGCTTTAAGCTTGGAGAGCACAGAAGTAAGTTCTGCTTGTACATTTGCTATCTTTGTGGCAAGATAGATGGATTCCTGAAAGCGTTTCTGACTCTTTCTCAAATTTTGCGGGACCAGTACACCGAACCATTTTACAGGATCTTTCGGTTCATCTGTCTCATTGCTAGATTTTTTTAAACTTATATCAAAACACACCACAGCGTCATCATTATCATTCGTCACATTAGTTTCCAAGTCAAACAAGGATGTGACTGTGTCTTCATTGTTTGGAACCTGTAGAATACTGATGTTCTCCTTTCCACGGATATATTTCGCTTTAGCTAACTCAATATGACCATCTTTCAATAATGTTTCCATTTGAACATTTCCACGAATCTTTTCTTCCATTAATTCTAACTTACGTAGTAACAACTCGTCAATCTCCTCTGACAAGGCATCCATATTTTTACTCATGCTAGTCATGTGAATATTATTGCACTTTATACTTGTCAATAGACGTAAGGAAAGAAGGTTTTGCCTGAAAAAGAATAGCATGAAAATACAAATGTATAAATATTTGATTGTTATTAAAGAGATGTGAGCACACAGTAAAAATATATGTTTTGTAAGAGAAATATATTAATTATTTAAAATAACTTACAAATGTTAATTTTTCTTTTTGGTAGATAATGTCTTGTTCCTTTTTCCTGACAAATCATACATCTGTTTCTCTCTTCAGGTTTATATTTTCTTTTAAAAACATTCAAGCAAATACCTTTATTTTTCATTTAATGTCACAAGTCTTTTTCTTCTTCAATTGACTCTGGGTCTGGGTTGGTAAAATAAAGACCTAACCTACCCGCCATTTACATGTCAGCTGTCAGCTGATTAGCCTTACCCATAATGCAACAACACATGTTGTGCTTGTGCTAGAGGCAGAAACACGTTTAGCACATCGTTCTGTTTACAATTTAGCAGGTTACAGAAGTTTTATGCAGTTTAATAATATTTTTGTTGACAGTGAAGATTTTTTTGCGACAATATAATAACTCGTAAAAATTATTTAGATTTCAATTCTGCTTTCTCGATGTTTGTAAAACAACTCTCTTACGTTTCTGTATCTTGATTGTTGATCGGTACTTCAGAAAATATTATTAAGTATATAATTAACAGTATGACTACGCCAATACTAACACAAAAGCAGCAAAGACAGAGCATATCGGCCAAAAAAGGACCTGTCAAAGGTTTACGGAATATCTTGGCACAGCCTACTGAGAATCACTGGTACGTATTATCCGATGCGTTAATTTTTTCGTGCGAGTTTGTAATAGATTTTAATGATTTATGATAAGAATATTCCTAAACATTAATATTTTCTCAAGTTTTATTACAATTTAGTATTTTGTACTTATTTTTAATTCTTTATTAGGCCAACTGTAAATATAAATCAGTACCCAGCATTAGGAACTCTTATGGATGAGTAAGTATAATTTAAAATATGAATATCTGAAGAGAAATATTATATTTTTTAATGCTAAAACTCTCTCTTATTTATAGATTATTACCCTTAATAAAACAGCCAAAATATAAAATTCCTGGATTTATGCTTAGACATACACCGAAAGAAAAACGTATATCGGTTAAGAAAAAAGCTTTGGAAAAAGAAACCATCAAGTTTGATAAAAATATATTGTAAATATTTGTCATAATATTACAATGTATTAAAAGCAATCATGATTTGAAAAATTAAAGAAGATAAAATTAATTTATATTTTTAAATTTTAGGGAGTCTGTGATCTTAGGTATTAATGCAGTCACTAGAGCCTTAGAAAAGGATAATGTATGCTGCGTTTTATTAGATGCCAATGTTGAACCACTTCTCTTAATAAAACATATTGTTATCATGGCTCAGAATAAGAAAACACCTGTTCTTCTGTTACCTGTCTTGAAAACAGTCACACTGCAAAAGATTGGATTTGCCACAGCAGCTTTTGCTTTGAAGGTAATGTATTAGTGTAGCTTCTTATTTCAAGAATGTATATTTTCACATGGATTTCTTATAAATTAAATATTTGCAGAACAATGTAATGCAATCTTCAGACAATGTATTCCACGCATTATACAAATCGGTGGCAGAAATTTCTAATGACTTTAAACCACCAAAATGTGCACTTCAACTTTTTATGTCTGATGAAATATCTGACGAAAGTGCAATATGTATAGCAGAAAACGCAAACACAGATTGTGATCCAACTATTTTCAAGCCAGAGAAATCTGTTACTATATTTACAGATGTGTATAAATATAGATCCTGCCGAAAAGAGAGAGCTTTTATACCTCCAACTGTCAACGAAAGTCCTCAAGTCTCTCAAACACGATCAGATGAATTTATAGCTCTAAGCAACGATCCTGAATTTGCCGATGATGAAAATTATACAAAGATATCGAAAAATGCGAGATATGTGAATATTTGCAAGGAAAAAGAAAGTGAATCTGAGACTACAGAAAAAAATAGCAAACAATTAATTGATAATAGTGTAAATTCATTGAAATATGCAAAAAATTCTATGTTAAAAAAGCGCAAAAATGATGTTACCTACCTACCATTAAAAATAAAACGTGTACGAGGAAACGATCATCGAGAAAAAGCGACTAAATTTACTAAAAAGAAAAATAAATGATAATAAATTATCCTTTTATTGAAGCTTTAGAGATTTTTAATTTAATATTCCCTATATGTTTAATAATATGAAAGATAATAATAATTTGAATAGGAAAATGGTAAACAAATACATAGTAATATAAAGATGCATATATATAATTTCTTTAAATAGAGATTATTACATTATATACAAATATTGTACCCTACTTCTTACATTATCAAATAATAGTAAATTATTAAATAATATTAATTATTATTATTATGTAATAAATAGAACCTATTATTAAATATTTGTAGTAATAAAAAACAGTAACAAAAATAGTTACAGCCCTACAATTATATATAATTGAATTAGGATATAATATTTTATATAATTCTATTTTGCATCAAAATGTAAATTTAAGTCAGTCTTCTGTGTATTAACTTTAATGGTAACAAAAATATAGACATTTTTATTATTATTCTTATTCCTCTCAATATGTATCTGTTCTGATACTTTAAGAAACCTTGCAAAAGATGGGGATTAGTTTTTATTATTTTTATTATAAAACAAAGTGTGTCCTATGAGCAAATAATGATATCATATAGGTAAACTTGACTTCACCGACGATTTAAACATCCTTGTAAAGAACATGAGACCAGTTGCACCTCCTGGTATATGACTTATTAGAAAAGATATCATCGCTATCAATTGCAGAACAGCGCACAATATGGTCAAAGGAGTGGATTGTAAATGCAGAGCAAAGTAAAGTGTGCCCGTTAATGTCGCGAAGTACGATGCTGTAAAACATCGCTTCTCAGCTGTGAATAATGATTTGATATAGCTTGATCCCCATAGAAAACAGAAACTGTAAGAGATCTTTCGTTAGAAATATCCTTCTCACATACGTATACCATACTTTTAGATATGCTTATATACACATACCTCATCAGAAAGAAGAGACTCCCTAAGGAATAAAGCAGAGCAAATTTTCTCGCTTTAAGCAACAACACAGGAATATAAATCGCTGATAGACAGAAGCATAATAGACCCAGAAGGAAACACACAGCAAAGGATATGAGCCTCTGCGTCCTCGTCTGTCAAGATATAAATGTCACGATGTATTTTGCGCAAGGATATACAATATTCATTATCATTTATATTAACTTTAATTAACCCAAAAATTATGACATGGAGTAAATCAATTATTTAATTATATCAATTTTTTTTACTTGTAATACAGTGGACGACTTCTAATAAATATATATTATAAATAAAAGTGATAAAAGAATTCCACCTCTCTCTTGTTGACATTTGTCATATTTTTGACATTTGACACATTTTCAAATAATTATTATTTCAAATAATAGGCAATTTGGAAAAATCGTAATATTTCGCAGGCAAATCTCAGATAATTAAATTATTTTGCACGTTATGCGTTTATATAATTTAAAAATCCTTTTCAAAGATAATGTTAATCGACATTAATGCGATTATCCGTCGAGGTTACGAGAAAATGCACTACCATGGCAGGACAACATTCTCTCTGCGATCTTTGAATCCATCCTGCGTCTTCCTTCGTTTCTTCAACATCCCTGCCGAACCATCCGCGAAAGTTTGTTTTTGGCAACGCTACCGAGGGAATAGCGATTTTATACTGCTTCTCATTTTTGTTGTTTAGGAGATACTCGTTCAATTCCTTGTTGAGATCGGCCATTTTGACATGTCGCACGTGTATTCATCACCGTCATGTCAGTTACTGTAAATCGTACAACGGGATACCGTCTTTATCGACGGCGAGTAATCGACTTTTCCAAAAAGGCTCCATCTGACAGCTCGTCCTTGCACTCGTGACCGCTCGCTAAAGAATCGCGCCTTCGTTCGTTCGGTTGAAGTGCACGAAAGTGAAACGCGCGTGTTTTTATCACGAGAAAATTCTCGCTAATTACGACGGTGACAGCAGCTGGAGACAGATATCTTGACGCTCGACGAAAATGTGAGTACTAGCGATAAGTTTGTATTATTAAATACGGCAAAACTCTAACTTAATCAACGATTTGACAAGAAAAAGAAGAGGAAGCCCAAACTCTCTCTTTCTCACACTATGCCCGTTGCATGAATATAAAATATTTCCGATGTAATACAAGCGATGCGATTGTATATTGCATCACTCGAATCTTGGAAGAGATAAAAAAAATTATATTGTATATATATATACTATATACAGGGTGTCCCAGGTCAGGTCAATGGAACTTCAAGGTTTTATAGGAAATTTAGGAATTTGGAACAAAAAAGTTCCGATAAATATAAGTCCGGAAACGCTTCGTTAAAAAGTTATAGCTAATAAACTCTCTGTAAGTAATTAGTTATGATCAATTTAATAAGAACATTTTTATGTTTGCATTTACAATGTTTGCATTACAAATGTAGTGTTTACACAAAAACCATCGGAAAATGATTTTTTCAAGTTTCTGCTTTTTTCATTGTTTTAAGCTTTTATTTTCTTTTGAACGCCTTATCAGAATTAAATGAAATTGAAGTAATTTAGTTTGTTATTTAATTACCCATCAGATTTATTTCGTTACTTTTTTCAAATTAATGAAGGGTTTTGAAGTTATTTTTAAAAATCATCAAAAAAAACGTGATTTTTCGAAGTTTATTAGCTATAACTTTTTAACGAAGCGTTTCCGCACCTTTATTTACGGGAACTGTTTTGTTACAAATTCAATTTCCTATAAGACCCTGAAGTTTCATTGATCTGAAACACCCTATATATATACAAATGTGGCGGAATCCTACAATATGTATATAATATTCTTCGCATAATTTCCGTCTACGCGAGTTATGCGAGATGCGACGCGAGCGCGCGCGCGCATGCGCGCGAATGAAATTGCTACGGTGGGTTTTCAAACTTACATTTATTTAAACAAATCAACATTGACCTCATATTTACGGATTGTATACTGTTATTTGTTGCACAGAAGGATGCACCTTTCTATATATACGCGAGATCTACGTATCCCGCAACGCGTCGTAATCGTTTTTTTCTTTTTTTTTTTTTTTTGACAGATCATTACAGTCGGTGACAGAGGGGAAAGGGGTAAGGGGGAGGCGGGG